GAAGGGAAGAAAAGGGGAAAAAATTAAAGTTCTCCTATTTTACGGTTTTTTTTTTTTTTTTTTTTTGATTACAGACTCTTTTAACTACTGAATTCTTTTACCTACCACTCACTAACTTCATCATGATATCCTTAACACTACCAAACATGTTGAAACCCTTCATACCAATACCCCTTGCAAGGACGAGCGGGTAAAAGTCCGTCGAAAAGATTTTGTGTAGCTTGTCACATGCACCCAACATGGCATGGTTCGAGGGCCAAGCATTTGCATTGTACTGTTCCAACACCAACGTAGACCCCAAATCCATGCCCCTGCTGGCTCCCTGCTCCAATGCCTCCACCAAGGCAGCTACATCAGACTGACCCATGTTTAATCCCTGGCCTGCAAGGGGATGAATCGTGTGAGCAGCATCACCGACTAAAGCGACTCTGGGGGCAACATATGTATCGGCATGAGACATTTTCAATGGGAACCTAGCTCTAGTATTGGGAACAAGCTCGAGGACTGGTAAAGGATAATTTTCCTCCAATGTTCTTGAGTCATATTTGGACAACCTCCATTCGATATCCTTCAAGACAGAAAAGTCGTTTGGATCTTCCTCCAATACACTATATATATAGTTCAAATCCACCTCTTCCAATACCATCCCAGCCGTCACCAAATGAGGAAAAATAGCTTCATTCACTTTCAACAATAAACTACTGAGTTCTGGTGTAGATGACCAAACAATCGTGGCATTGTCTTCCGTTAATGGCAAGATTGCCAAAGGACCAGTTGTGAGGAATCGTTGCCATCCAACAGATCTGAAATCTTCGTATTGTAGCTTTATACATGCAACAACTCCAAATCTGTTATACTGCCAACCTCTGGACTCAATATGCGCATACTTGCGAACAGGGGAATTGTAACCATCAGCTCCGATTAATAGCCTTGTTTGAATGGTATCGCCATTGGATAATTTCACAATTGGCCAGTCCAAGTCCTTGTTTCCGATTGCCAAATCTGGCTGATTCAAATCATGGTTGTCCAAATCTTGCGCATTTTCCAACGGGTTAATGATTTCAACAACCTTGGTCGAGTCCAAAATTTCAATCCCGCTTGCTGGCTCTGCAGATAACTCTTCCAACTTCCTCAACAAGGAACTTTGGATGTTGATAACCTCGCACATCGTTGCAAGGGTGTCTCTGCCAATGGATGTAACGTCAAATTCAACTCGTGCCGAGGCGTCTTGTGAGTCGTAGGCGATTATTCCGTCGTAATCTCTTACTCGATCTTGATGAGCATACTCCCAGTTTCCAATTCGGTTTTGCATAAACTCAACAGACTTTGGAGTTAACGAAACAATCTTGTTGGTGTAGTTTTCCGGCGGATTAACTTCAAATTCTCGTACTGGATCTAATGACTGTCCTTCTATCAATGTGCATTGCAAATGCTTTAGTTTCGGCGACGTTTTCAATGCTGACAAAAGAGTAAGTCCTGCAGGTCCACCTCCTATAATCACCACGTCCTGAAACTTTGTTGCCGTTCTAGTGGCTAAAGTTCGAATAAAGTTCATCCTCACAGTGAAAGCCAGAATGAACTAGGGAGAGTGAAAAAAAAAAAGAAAAAAATAAAAAAATAAAAAAAAAAAATTTTAAAGTCTGATGATTTGAACTAAATATAGTGCACACTCTACTTTGAAAACTACACACACATACATTTCTATGCCTTTGGAAAGTTCTCTAAGCTGACCTTTCCGCTCTCAATCCAATAAGGATCCATCAATTTGTCCTTTTCTTCATACAAATACTTGTAAGAAGTTTTGATGGTACCATCACTGACCCCGGTCTTGTCGGATATTCTTGATGGTGGCAACTCGACACCAAACACTATGGATGCCATGTATATAACAGTAGCTGCGATTGTAGTAGGGGATCTACCTGCCAATACACCCACTTCTTTGCTTCTTCTTGCAATATACTCCGCCCCGTTGGTGACTTGAGAGTTCAATCCTAGATGCGAACAGAACCTTCTAATCAAATCTTCAGCTGATGTTTGAGTAGTTTGGATATTGTCTTGGCTGTAGTATGCAGCGGATTGAGGGTTGGCTTCATACTTCTCACGTATAATAGTCTTCATGATGTGAAAGACTTTGCCAATCTCCTTTTTGGGGACATTGGTCAACGCCCAAATCTCTTTGAATGTACGAGCAACTTTGGCTTTACGACAGCCAATAAGTATAGACGCAGCCATGATCGATTCCTGTGATTTTCCCCGTAAACGTTTCTCATCATAAACCATTTTATAAACCTCTTTAGCTGCGTCTTGGACAATCTTGGGCAACTGGTACCCTTCACACATTTGCGAAATCTTGGCATATGCCGCAGCTAGAGCATTGTCCTTTCTGTCAACCAATGACTTAGACTGTGCTCTATTCAATTCTCTACCGGCCTTCGAACTATCAGGAACATACGAGATCATCGTCGACAAATCTTCAGTGTCCAACAACGGATTACCTGCGTCACCTACACGAGATGGATCGTCTCCATTCTGATCATCGTTGCTGAAAGTTCTCCATTCTGATCTAGTGTCAACGACTCTATCGCTCAAAACCAACCCGCAACTACCACACACAATATCCCCTTCACTGAACCGCTCAATCAAGTCCGGGGGAAAGATCTTGCATTCCGGACACGTTAAGGTGACATTCAAGTTAGGTCCAACATACTCTTGGGCATCTTGATTGGTTTTCGAAGTGGTTTGAGCTGTTGCTACTGATGACATGGAATGTGATTAGTATTATCCTACGATTCTTTTTGGTGAAAATTTATTGTGAGCACGAACTAACGGAACAATAAACTTGTATATTGAGAAAAAAAACGGTGAAGATATATTACTGACACACTGCTGCTGAACCGTTCCAATACGATTGATAACGGTGGTGAAAGCAGATGGGGGTAAGATCCAAGGAGGTACGATGTTGTGAGATTAGTAATTCCAAAAATTTTTGTCAGTCGTTGTAAATTTATAATCTTAGAAAAGCAAAGATATGGTCGTGGAAAAATGACAAATTATTTTGGGGTCATGTGTAAGTAACATCTGAGTGATGTAGAACCTTCTTAAGCCAAAGTGATGTCATAGCATTTGTGGAGGACAAAGCGCCGAATGTAGTCCATGCCATTCACAGAGAGACTCGAGCCTGACTCCTTTACTGGGTACAAAGTACAGTTGCATTTGCTTTTATGGATGCAAAATAGTAGAGACAACCTCAAAAATCAAACAATGAACTCTATTAACTATTCTATAATTTGAAAGTGTACAACCACTCATACTTGCTAGACCGCCTCCCCCAACGTCACTGCTCACTTTTCTCTTCTTTTGAACAACTTACTGGTCAATTTAGGTGACCCAAATTCTGACCCCAATTTATCCAATTTTATACCAGAGCTGGATCTTGAGTGCGAAGTTGAGTTGCTGCCCAAAGGAATCTTCAAATGGCCTGTACTCAAGTTATGCCTGTTATTGAACATGACCCGATTAGGCGTCGACGACCCTGATCTTGATCTTGCATCTTCACTTCCACTGCCATCGGAATAGCTTGGTGCGAACCCATCTTGAACATAACTATCATCGTCATCGTCGTCATCCAATGCCTCATAATACGACGGAATGTGAGAAAAATCAACACTTTTGTTCTTTCTTGCCATTTTCTTCTTATTGAGCTCAAAGGCCTTTTGTATTGGCATGTCAAAGTAGGAATCTAGATTTGTAGTCGAGTTATTGGCGGATCCAAGTGGTGTGCCACTTTGTGACCTGAGCTGCTCGAGTGGTGTCTGAGGCAAGTTCATGTCAAACTTCTTATCAAACACGTGCTTTTCGTAAAGTGGAGGTGCACTCTCCTCTCTATCCAAATCTTCATCAGTTTCCTCCTCTGATTCATTTTCAAACTCATCATCAGATACCGCGGGAGTAGCCGGTGCCGAGTCTCTTTTGTGAAACAACACGTCCTCCTTTTTGTAGTCCAAGACAAACGTTCCATGATGGTTGTCTATATCATAATGTCTCCCAACAACGTGTCCAATGTTTGCACTCAAGTACACACAAACTGGCAAGTTTGCTCTCAACTCACTGGTATGGCCTGCCATATTTTTCAACTGGATTGCCACTCTCAATCTATGTTTGACAACAATCATACTATTTTTAACGTCACAGGTTTGACAGATTTGTCTTAAATGATCGGGGACTTTGTAATGCGTCTTTATTACCCATCTGTCATATTCCAAGTCTGCATTATTGGGTATCGGGAGCTCTTGCTTTCCACACAACCTTTCGTATTCAGGTGACCTTTGCTCACCAATTTGAATGTGGTAATGTTCAACGATGCATGCATTCATGGCCTTCAAGCTCAAACCTTTGGCTATTGGAATTATTGTGATGTGTATTGGCACAGTAGATCCTATTGCCACAGCCTTCTTTGGCATGCTGACAAGGTATTGGAGTTTGCCAACCCAGGTGTTGTCCACATCAATCGAGTCGAGCAAGTTCATGTTACGTGGATGCAACGTGCGCACTATTCTGATGTGCTTGCTTGTTTGATGTGACTTTTCAAACCTTCCTCTTTCAATGGAGCATTGCATTTTGTACAATAAAGTTCCAATCGGTAACCCTTCGACGGTCTCGCCAATGTTGGAAGGTAGATATACCTTGAATGGTAAGCTATAGTTTCCCTTGGGTAATAGGAATGAATGACCAGGAACATTCTTGAGCTCCTTAAAGGGGGTTCCGTCGATACCAGATTTAGGAATTTGAATAATCTTGGAAGGATCCTTGCTCCCGACAGAATTCAACATTGGCGATGACTTGGTTCTTCCATATTGTGGTCTGGGAGTAGATGTCCCAGAATTACTTCCAGATCCAGGAACTGAACTCTTATCGCTAGTGCTTCCCTTCTTCATCTTGTACATAGGTATTGTGCCATCACCATAATTTCCAAATCTAATCTTCCCTTCATCATCAGTGAGTAGGTTGTCCCAATCAACTTTCAACACACACAAACGGTCCAAATACTGATCATGTGTTTCCTTCAGTGAGTATTCATAGTAGAACTCTCCAACTAGACCCAACTTAATCTTCTTGATATGAATGTCTTCTTTCAACGACAACTTAACACTACCTTCAAATAACAAATTTTCAACATCGTACTCACTTCCTTTGATTAAATACAAGTTCTTATTATGCGATTTGATTTTAATGTCGAATAATGCAAGATGCAAATGTTGAGTGAACATGCTTTTTTCCTAGATTTCGTAGATATTATTTCATCGATTTGTATAACGTGAAAGCTTTTGACCGTGTTAGTGAGCTAAGAAAACTTCTGCTGTAGCTGGTGAATGCACTGGTTTCGAAGTTACAGCGTTGGACTAAAAAAAAAATGTATTCTTTGAGCAGAAGGGCTGTAGTCCAAGAATTTTTCCGAGTTCTTCCCGTGTTTGACAGGATCTCTAAAAAAAAAAAGAAAGATCTTTTACACAAAGCTGAGCTACAATTGCTGTACTGCATAAAAGCCACTTTGTACCATCGACAATCATCTCGTCAAGCCTCACCCTTCAAAACAATGCCGCATCCACTGCTTCAATCTAGAGTAAGCGTAGCTTACGTTCGTTCATACCGTATCCTGTAGGATCAGTTGACACTCGCTAGGGTTCGACTATTCTACATTGAATTTTTCAAGGGATTCTATAAAACGTGATATTAAAAGAGTTATTAAATCATGACACTGCGGAAGGGGGCGGGAGTGATAGTCTGTGCGCAATGTGCCTACGTGGTACCAACAAGCCGCAGATGAAGTCACATTGCAAAGAATGATTGACTTTTCAGATTGACTTTCCATCTTGACACTGTAACGGCTAACTTATTTTTAGACGTTTACAACAGTGCCTGGTTCATTTAACTTGCCTCGGTTCACTCCACTCCCGCATCTCCGCTTCTTCAAGCCTCGCAAACTGCTTACAACTCAGTATTCTCCAAAAAGAAGTAATTGCCCGATTGTTTCTGTTCCTTATCCATTTGTGAATCCAACTTGTTGATTCTTGGCCTGTACGAGTTTGGATCTCTTCTAAATGTGACATTCAAATTCTTCAAAAACCTATTACAACCAGTCAACAACGATTCTGGAGCTCTTGCAAACGCGTGCCTGGATGGCTGACCTTCGAAAACAATAACTCTATCAGCCAAGTATGTGGCCATGATGAAATCGTGCTCAACGATGAAAGCAGTCTTTTTAGCATGCAAAATAAATCTTCTAATGACTTTGGAGCAAATAATACGCTGCTCGGAATCCAAATAAGCAGATGGCTCATCGATCAAATAAAGGTCTGCGGGTATACCTAATGCCAAAACTATAGCAACTCTTTGCAACTCACCACCTGACAAAGTTTGCACTTCTTGGTCAATGATATCCTCAATCTTCAATGGTTTTACAACATCAGTTTGGAATTGGGGATGCAAAAAGGACGCCCTTATCTTTTTAAAGAACAACTGTCTCACAGTTCCTGTGAATTTTGGTGCAATCTTTTGTGGTTTCATTGAAACGTTTAATTTAGGAATCTCTTTTCCTCCATCTGGAGCTATAGCACCTGCCAACAATTTACAGAACGTGGTCTTACCTGTACCGTTTTCTCCCATCATGACCAAAATTTCAGAATTTGTAAAATCACCCGCCTCCACTTCCAATTTGAAGTCACCCTGGGTCTTGCTCATAGATGGGTATTCCAATGAGTTGGATTTGTCCAAGATTAAGTCGTCAGCAGCATCAGCCAATCTGAATTGTAATGACTCAGTCCTGAATCTCATGTTTTCAGTAGGTATATGACCGTCCAAGAAAATATTAATACCTTCTCTTACAGATGACGGCAAGGTCACAACACCATAAACAGATGGGGCTCCGTAAAGAATACAAATGAAATCTGACAAGTAATCCAACACTGACAAATCGTGCTCCACACAGATGATGTAAGTTGTGGCACTTAAAAGTGATCTGATAATTTCGGCAGCTCTCAATCTTTGTTTGACATCCAAATAGGAGGATGGCTCATCAAACATATAGACATTGGCATCTTGAACACAAGTGATACCTAGAGCGAATCTTTGTAGCTCACCACCAGACAAATTCTCAACATCTCTTTCCAAGACATGCTTCAACTCCAATACTTTCAATACATAGTCAAAGTCGGCAGGTCTCTCATTCTTTGATTCCAAAATAGCACCCACCGATTTCACTTTCGATTTGGCCAACGCACGAGGAATGTTGTCAACATACTGTGGCTTGATAATGGCCTTGATATCATCTTCCAATATTTTCGTGAAGTAGTTTTGCAACTCGGAACCTCTAAAGTTTCTCAAAATCTCTTCCCAATCAGGTGGGTCATCGTACCTACCCAAGTTAGGCTTTTGTTTACCAGCCAAAATCTTCAATGCAGTAGATTTACCAATACCGTTAGTACCAACCAATCCCAAAACCTGACCGGGTCTTGGTGTAGGTAACCTATGCAACTTGAAAGAATTTGCTGAGTATCTGTGGGTTGTTTCAGCATCCAAGTTGGTTGGCAAGTTGATAATGGTGATTGCGTCAAAAGGACATTTCTTTACACAGATACCACAACCAATACACAAAGTCTCTGATATGAATGCAATTTTGGAAGCAGGGGTAACTTCAATACACAACTTCCCTGTCTTAACAACGGGACAACTCTTTCTGCACTCCTGTTTACACTTTTTTGGCTTACACCTGTCGGTTGAGATAATGGCAATTCTCTCATTCTTGGAACTGGTTTCCCCCTTGCTGTTCTTTCCTTTACCCTTGGAACTCATGCTGTTTAAGATGGTGATGGTGTTGTATGGACTAAGAAGCGTCTCAAGAACTTTTCAGAGCAGCCAAAAAAAAAAAAATAAAAAAAAAATTTTCTATTTTTTTTAATTCTGTTTATCTCGCTACCACTTCTACAATTATGCATGATTGTCGTGCCTACAAACCTGAAGCGAAGACAGTTTTGGGTGCGGCGTGGGAAAAATTGAAACAGCGCGTGATTAGTAAATACACAACCCTCATTGGTCTTTTTGATTTGTCTACTTTGGAGAGTCTATCTACACCTACAATGAATGGCTTAGACCAATACTGGCTTTTGAATCTACCGAGATACTGAAATCCTTGCATTTTGGTTAGTTGTATAACTCTTTGCGATGGATCGATTGAAAAAAGGTACTGCAATCGTGACCAAAAACAACAAACCAGTCAACCTATACACCCATTTATGTCGTGGCATATTCACTCGAGGTGGTCACATTATGCTATCAATGGTGCTCAAGTTAGGGTGCTCATATTGGATTTTTGATAAGTCCATCATTTTCAATAAAGAAGACCTCATATACATACACAGAGATTTGTTATGTGCTCTTCTTCAGGTCGTGCACAATTGCAAACTTATCGTTTAAAAAAAAAAATTCAGTGACTGATTTCTGTGTTTTTCTACACCACAAATTTTTTGTCGACAAAAAGAAAAAAAGAAAAAAAAAATTTTCTGTTCCCCATGCATGTGTTCTATTTCCTTCAGCAACACATGCTGCAAGTTTATCAAAGTACATCTGAATATGTTGTCCAGGTAAATTGAAACCAAAGGGAAGTCAGAGGCCACACTGTCTAGAATAACAACGCTGTCTTTGCACATTGCTGGCTTGTTGCTGTTTCGGTATGGTTGTCAAATACACTTGTCTAAATTCAAAGGTTGTCTAAATGTGCTTATCACTGTGACTGTTTTTCGATTAATTTGGAGTCGTTTTGGATGAAAGACCAATAGAGTCTAACTTTCATCATCAATTTTACTTCCGCTGTGCATCAAGCTGTATTTATTGGAGCAAACAGTTGTTATCTCCATCGTTGCTGGATCGTGACTGCCTAAAATGCTGTCCGCAGTGACCGCAAACCATGATATTGCCGAATTTGCTCATTCGCTACTGCGTTTATTACCAAATTGAGCCTGATGATCAAGAGCAAAATGTTCCGCCACTTATTGATTAACCGTTTCATCCTTGTTTTCCCATAATGATAAACTGTTGTAATGGCTGCAAAATTTGGTTTTGCTGGACTGCAATGATCAGAGTAGTAAAATACTCAACATTAAGGTACAACTTGATACAGCCAACACTAAACTAGTGCTTATATTGTCATATTAATCAAATTGAATGATTTTAATGTCGAGGCAACAATTTCTTAAAGTACTCATAATCTCGATTATGTCAAACTTATCGTAGATTGCTCTATCACGCAACTGAGTAAGTTGGAAGTCGTCTCAAATCTCTACCCCCCTGTTCCCCTTCTAAAGTACGTTTTTTTTTCTCCTTCAAAATGCTGAAAGTTTTTTTGTTGTCGTTGGATAAATTTTTCCCATTTTCAGTTTCTAACTAAAAACATCTGACCTTACAACACGATCCCCATTCAGTAGCCCAACTGTTTTTTTTTTAACACTGAAATACTCGATCCAACAGGTCATACTTTAACCGATTTCCTAATCTTTCAAGACGCTTTGTCCTGAGTTTTTGGTTGTGTTGTTGAAACTTGACTTACTGATATATCACTTTCATCAGATTTTGGATATCCACAGTCCATCTCGGTTGCAAATTCAAGTGACGCTTATAGTAATTAATAAGCTGTGGGAGAAGGAGTGTTAGCCACTTATTGGAAAGTTATAACCCCAGCAAGCACCACTTTGTCCCCTTCTTTTCTAATTTTGAATCTACTGTTCCACTACCGGACAAAATTGCAATGGTGAAATTGTTGGTGCCGGAGGAAGCTTCTCAAAACCCGGAACTCTACGGTTTGAGAAGATCTCATCGAGAAAGGAAAGGTCCATCCATCATAGAGTCTGACTCGGACTCTGATGAAAGTCCAACGACGAGGAAACGCAAGAAGGTGGTGGACGATTACGATGATGACTTGATTGGCGATGACGATGACGACGAAGTTGATGAGGGTGACGATTTTGAGGATGATGATTTTGTAGTGGAGAAAAAGCAAAAGAAGAAAAGAGCACCTGGCTCGAGGAGAAAGTCTAAGAAGCAGAAAGCTACGTCCCAGGATGAGTCCTATAGTCCACAGGAATTAAGGTTTTCCACGAGAAATAATAAACAAGTTAATTACGCCATTGACGAGGATGACGATGCTGATTTGATTGAGAGCGATTTCGACGATGCCGATGAGGAAAACGACTACTATTATTACCAACAAGCTATCGCTCCTGAAAATGAACGCGGAATTGACCTTGTTTTGGATCACAAACCCAACCCTGACAATTTAGAAGTGACAAGTGAACCAAAATTAGACTACTTGTTCAAAATCAAATGGACTGATGCATCACATTTACACAACACTTGGGAGACTTTTAACAACTTGAAAGACTTTAAAGGGTTCAGGAAAGTTGACAACTACATCAAGCAATTCATAATATACGACAATGAAGTCAGAAATGATCCATTAACTACAAAAGAGGACATAGAAGCAATGGACATTGAGAGAGAACGAAGAAGAGACGAACAAGACGAATACGTGCATGTTGAGAGAATTGTTGATAGTCAGAGAATCGAAAAGGATGGAGAGAGTAGGCTTGAATACTTTGTGAAATGGAGAAGATTGTATTATGACGAGTGTTCGTGGGAAGATGCAGAAGAGATTGCGCAAATTGCTCCTGAGCAAGTTGGCAAATATCAGCAACGGTTAAACTCCAAAATTCTCCCCAATTTCTCGGCAAATTATCCATTGTCACAAAGGCCAAGATTCGAAAAGTTGGTGAAGCAACCGGTTTTCATCAAGAATGGTGAACTTCGTGATTTCCAACTAACAGGTCTCAATTGGATGGCGTTCCTATGGTCAAGAAATGAGAATGGTATATTAGCAGACGAGATGGGGTTGGGAAAAACCGTTCAAACCGTTGCTTTTCTATCATGGTTGATCTACGCAAGGCGGCAAAATGGACCTCATTTGGTCGTGGTCCCATTGTCAACCATACCTGCTTGGCAAGAGACGTTTGAAAAGTGGTCACCTGATATCAATTGTATTTATTACTTGGGTAATGGTGAAGCTAGAAGAACTATTAGAGATTATGAATGGTACACACCCAATGGCAAGCCAAAATTCAATGTTTTGTTGACGACTTATGAGTATATCTTGAAGGATAGAAATGAGTTGGGTTCTCTCAAGTGGCAGTTTTTGGCTGTGGATGAGGCACACCGTTTAAAAAATGCTGATTCGTCCTTGTATGAATCATTGAAAAGTTTCCGTTGTGCCAATAGACTTTTGATTACAGGAACCCCACTCCAAAACAATTTGAAAGAATTGGCCGCATTATGCAATTTCTTGATGCCGGGCAAGTTTGATATTGAGCAAGAGATTGACTTTGAGACCCCTGACGAGGAGCAAGAGCTGTACATCAAGGACTTACAGAAAAAAATCAGCCCATACATTTTGAGACGACTCAAAAAAGATGTTGAAACATCGTTGCCTTCAAAGACAGAGAGAATACTACGTGTCGAACTTTCAGATATTCAAACAGAATATTACAAAAACATCATCACCAAGAATTATGCAGCCTTAAATGCTGGTAATAGTGGGTCCCAAATCTCCTTGTTGAACGTAATGAGTGAATTGAAAAAGGCGTCAAACCATCCTTACTTATTTGATGGTGCAGAGGATCGTGTACTTGCTCGCGCAGGATCCGATACCAGAGAAAACATCTTGAAGGGTATGATCATGTCCTCAGGAAAAATGGTTTTGCTTGAGCAGTTGTTGTCAAGATTGAAAAAAGAAGGTCACAGAGTTCTTATTTTCTCGCAAATGGTGAGGATGTTGGATATTCTTGGTGATTACATGGCCATCAAAGGTTATCAATTCCAACGATTGGATGGAGGTATTCCATCAGCGCAAAGAAGAATCTCAATTGATCATTTCAACGCCCCCGACTCGAAAGATTTTGCATTCTTGTTGTCAACTAGAGCCGGAGGACTAGGTATTAACTTGATGACTGCGGACACTGTGATTATATTTGACTCAGATTGGAACCCTCAAGCTGATCTACAAGCCATGGCAAGAGCTCACAGAATTGGTCAAAAGAACCATGTTCTGGTTTATCGATTTGTTAGTAAAGATACAGTTGAAGAACAGATTTTGGAAAGAGCTAGGAAGAAAATGATTTTGGAGTATGCTATTATTTCTTTGGGTATTACTGATCCAAATGCAAAGAAGGGTAACAAAACGGACCCTTCCACAAGTGAACTATCTCAGATTTTGAAGTTTGGTGCAAGTACCATGTTCAAGGACAATGACAACCAGCAAAAATTGGAAAACTTGAACTTGGACGATGTTTTGAACCATGCTGAGGATCATGTCACGACACCCGATTTGGGTGAATCAAACTTGGGTTCGGAGGAGTTTTTGAAACAGTTTGAAGTTACTGATTACAAAGCCGATATCGAATGGGATGACATCATACCTCAAGATGAGTTGAGCAAGTTGAAGGACGAGGAGAAGAAAAGGGCTGATGAGGAGTACTTGCAACAACAAATTGCCTTGTATTCCAAGCGGAAGGCTGCTGTACGGAAGTTTGAAAATGGATCGGTGGTGCCTAGTGACGTTGAGGATAGTGCAGATGATCTGAAGTCTTCTGGGAGAAGGAGGGCTACTGACAATCAACTTTCAGAGAAGGAGATTCGGGGCATCTATCGATCGATATTGAAATGGGGAGACCTTACTGGCAAATGGGACCAATTGGTTGAAGAGGGGAGCATCAGTAACAAGAACCCAGTTTACATTAAGCATGCTTACAACGAGATAGTCAACACCGCAAAGACTTTAGTCAAGGAAGAGGAAGCGAGGAGATCCCAAGCACTTGCCGAATTGGAGAGAAGGGCCAAGGAGCAGAAAGAGGACCCCAACAATACTGACCAAAATCAAACAGCTTTGTGGGTGGCAAAGAAGAAAGAAAAGAAGGCAGTTCTTTTCGAGTATCAGGGTGTTAAAAATATCAATGCTGAGCTTGTCTTGAATAGACCGGTGGATATGAGAGCACTTGCGAAAATCATACCCGGTGACAATCCATTGGATCTTCAATTACCGAGACACCCAAAGGCCGTGCAGTCCTGGTCTTGCGAGTGGACGGCAAATGATGATGCTATGTTGCTAGCAGGTGTGCACAAGTTTGGGTATGGATCATGGGTTCAAATTAGAGACGATCCTTTGCTAGGGTTACAAAACAAATTGTATTTGGATTCTGCACCTGTTTCAAAGAATGGTGAAGCCAAAGATGTTTCGAAAAAAGTTCCCGGCGCAGTTCATCTAGGTAGACGAGTGGATTATCTTTTCACTCTTTTGCATGATGATAATGAATCTGAACCTGCTTCTACAGAACCCAAACGCAAGGTGAAGAGAGCTGACAACTCATCTGTCGCCAAATCCAGAAAAGGCGTCAAATCCGAGACTCCAGACACAAGCCGCCCTGCCAAGGTCAAGAGACCCAGCTCTCAACACCTGCATAATGGCACACATGCGGCAACTAGAAAGCCATCCAGTCATTCAAATCTCAAGCATGAAAGAGACTCGGGTGGTGCTAGGCAACTACCAGGCTTGCATCACAAACAGGAGTCACAATATGAACCCATGGATGAAGCAACGCAAAAAGTGTGCAAAGCCGCATTACAGCCTGTCTTTGGATCGCTTCAAAAATTGCAAAGGGGTAATTCGGGATTGGAGAAGCACGAATGGGCGAAAGTATTAAAAGACGAGCTAACGAATGTTGGTGATCACATTGAATCTGAGGCAAAGAGTTCCAAGACCAGTGAAGATCCAAATCAATTGAGAATGCGTCTCTGGTCCTTTGCGGGAAGATATTGGCCTAGCAAAGTGCCCAGTAGTAAAATCAGTGAAATGTACAAAAGGCTAAAATCAAAGGCCAAGGAGTGATTAATAGTTCGTGTTTGACATGTTTAGATTAATAAAAGATTTCATATATATAATCTGTTCCTGTGGTATTTGTGCTTTTGAGGCAAATAGATTGTAGCTTAGATTGCGGACGTCTATTTTTGCAACTGTAAGATACTGGTAGTGTACGATAGTCCAATAACGTAGAAGACGAAGTAGAAGAAGAAAAAATTTTTTTTTTTGTTTCGTCTTCTCTTCTATGCACGTGAGCAGTAGAATGACACTAATTACATAAGTGAGAGAGAGAGAGACACACACTCACACACACACCATCGCGTATCAAAAAGAACAGATCTACTAACTTAAGCTCCGTACTCTGATACTATAACACTGGCTACCAGCTCTCATATTCCATACATTTATCCAGAAGTGCATACTCACGTAATAAGCTCAAAAGAGAAAAGTGAGATTGTGACAAACTGCAAAATCGCCTTCCCTTGTCTCCTTAAAAAATAAATATTGATCGCAGACGAAGTGCCATAGCGAAGAAGAAGAAGAAGAGGAAAAAAAAAAAAAAAAAATTTGTGAAAAATTTATTCCTAGACATTTCACAATTCTTAATCTATTTCAGTTCATCTTAACCGTATCTACACACATCAATAATGTCAGCTGCTGAGACTAACCAACTTCAAGAGTCCTTGGAGAAATTGAACATCGACTCTTCATCTTCAAAACCAGGTGTCGAATCTGAGGGTGTTTCTGTTGAACCTTCTTCTGAAGAACAAGGTGAATTGGGTAATGTTGCTGAAAACTCAGCTTCATTATACGTTGGAGAGTTGAACCCATCAGTCAATGAGGCAACACTTTTCGAACTTTTTTCACCTATTGGTCAAGTTTCTTCTATTAGAGTTTGTCGTGATGCTGTTTCTAAGAAATCTTTGGGTTATGCTTATGTCAACTACCACAAATTCGAAGATGGTGAGAAGGCTATTGATGAATTGAACTACAGTCTTATTGAGGGCAGACCATGTCGTATCATGTGGTCCCAAAGAGACCCATCAGCAAGAAGGTCTGGAGATGGAAACATTTTCATCAAGAACTTGCACCCAGCTATCGATAACAAGGCCTTGCACGATACTTTCTCAGCCTTTGGTAGAATCTTGTCATGTAAAGTTGCCACTGATGATTTGGGACAATCCAAGTGTTTTGGTTTCGTTCATTACGAAACTGCCGAGGCCGCTGAAGCTGCCATCGAAAATGTCAATGGTATGTTGTTGAATGACCGTGAAGTTTACGTTGGTAAGCACGTCTCAAAGAAGGACCGTGAATCCAAGTTTGAAGAGATGAAAGCTAATTATACAAACATTTACGTCAAGAACATTGATTTGGGCTTTTCTGAAAAAGAATTTGAAGACTTGTTTGCTCCATTTGGAAAGATTACTTCCATTTACTTGGAAAAGGATCAAGATGGAAAATCGAAAGGCTTTGGTTTTGTCAACTACGAAGACCACAAATCCGCTGTTGAAGCTGTTGAAGCTTTGAACGATAAGGAGATCAATGGCCAAAAAATCTATGTTGGAAGAGCTCAAAAGAAGAGGGAAAGAACTGAAGAATTGAAGAAGCAATACGAAGCTATTAGATTGGAAAAATTGTCTAAATACCAAGGAGTCAACTTGTTCATCAAGAACTTGGATGATCAAATTGATTCAGAACAATTGGAGGAAGAATTTAAACCATTCGGAACCATCACTTCAGCCAAGGTTATGGTTGACGATGCAGGTAAGTCCAAAGGTTTTGGTTTTGTTTGCTTTAGCACTCCAGAAGAAGCTACAAAGGCAATCACCGAGATGAACCAAAGAATGGTTAATGGTAAGCCATTGTACGTTGCTTTGGCTCAACGTAAGGATGTTAGACGTTCTCAATTGGAACAGCAAATCCAAGCAAGAAACCAAATGAGAATGCAAAACGCTGCCGCTGCTGGTGGATTCCCAGGCCAATTTATGCCACCAATGTACTACGGACAACAAGGATTCTTCCCACCAGGTGGCAGAGGTAATGCTCCATTCCCAGGACCAAACCCTCAAATGATGATGAGAAGAGGTCAACCAGGCCAACCATTCCCTGAGCAATGGCCAAGACCCGGACCAAATGGGCAACCAGTCCCAGTTTACGGACTTCCACCTCAATTCCAAAACCAAGGAGCTCAACAGCAACAGCAACAACAACAACAACAACAACAGCCACAACCCTTCCCAGGGCAAGCTGGTGTTAAAGTTCCAGCTAAGGATTTAGCTGCCATCATCTCCAGTGTTCCACCAGAGCAACAAAAGAGAATCTTGGGAGAAGAATTGTACCCAAGAATTGTTGCTACTGGAAAGGCACAAGAGCCTGAAGCTGCAGGAAAGATTACTGGTATGATGTTGGGTTTGGAGAACCAAGAAATCTTGGACTTGTTGGACGATGACGAGTTGTTCAACAACCACTTTGAAGACGCTTTGACTGCTTACGAAGAGTACAAGAAGTCAGAGGCTGGTGCCGGTGGTAATGAAGAAGCTTAATTGCGAAGAAAGGAGTTCCTGTGTTGTTGATGTTTAATGTGGAAAGATGAACGTTTGTTGGACCTATTTGATGGATATTAGACCGTTTTCTTACTACATGTCCGTTGTGTTACGTGTATACATTTGTTTACCTTTTTGTTGTGATAATTTTTTGTGAAATGGAAAAAAAATTGGAAACTTTTGCTATAAAACATATTTTGGTGGAGAAGATGTTCCATCACGATGTAGTTCTTTGCGTAGTGCTTGACTTGTTCTTACTATGCCTCTTGTTCTAATGGTGTGTTTACTTTTGCTTGTGTAGGCGAAATCGTGATATCCATTTTAAAGTCATAACATGTCAGTCTCCTTTGAGCGAGGGGACAGGCACCGCCCTATTTCGACATGTGCTGCTTCACTACAACAAAGTAAATAAGTTCAATTCTCCTCTTGGAAGAGTTACCTGACAATGAAACTATACATTCGAATAGTATGGAAAAGATAGAAGATGTATTGCCTGCGTGAACTAATCTTAATTCAATTCTGTGCAACGTTTTTTTGTTTTTTTTTTTCTCAACAACCGCAATCTAACAAAGAATCTGGTGTAAACGTTGCTAAGAAAACACTTGCGACATTCTTGTTTTCAACACCTCCACCAACCGGCTCCCTTTCTTCCGCTAAAAACTATAAGGAACCAGAAATTTGTCAAAGGTCCGTCACTACTGCTGCATTCACCACAAGAACTAACTCACACCATCAATTTATTTTATTTCTTTTACGGAAATGCCTGAATTGAGCCAATTGAAGGTATCTCCGGCAAACTCCCATGCGGTATCTCCGAAAGATTTTGCCAACAACGACAAGGTTAAGTTATCTGGTCGTATTTTGAATGTGCTGACGACATTGCCAACTCAGATTGTGAGTAACTACGACCCCGAAACCAATCGCTACTACTGGGATGTGGACATTGTGCATGGAAGCCTGGCGTTGTTTTCCTCGCAGAGCTTTTTACAACAGCATACTGATTGGGAAACACATGTTATTGCTTGGACCGGTGAGTTGAAGAACAAGGTCAAGAACACTGTGAATGTTACCGCTGAAAATTTGGAGGATGATCCGTTATACCTTGATGATGAGGATAAGGAAGAAATCGAGAAGAAGCTTCAAACGGCGATAGGGTCAAAGAATATCCATCCCATCTGGTTATTGAGACGTGATCAAGAGAGATGGAGAAAATATGCCGAGAGTGTAATTTGGCCCGTTTTTCATTACTTCCTGGGAACCCCTTCCGATGGGAAGAATGAAATTCAAGCATGGCACGATTATGTGAAATTTAATGAAGCTTATGCCAACAAGATTAAACAGATTTATAAACCGGGTGATGTCATTTGGATTCATGATTATTACTTGTTGTTGTTGCCTCAATTACTACGCATGGAATTCCCTGATGCTTATATCGGACATTTCTTACATACTCCCTTCCCATCGTCTGAGTATTTTAGATGTCTTTCCAAGAGAAGTCAGTTGTTGGATGGTTTACTTGGTGCTGACAAAATTGGTTTCCAATCAGAATCATTCCAAAGACATTTTGTCTCTTGTTGCGCTAGACTCTTGGGGTGTGAAGTTACCAAGAATCAAATTTTTGCGTATGGAACTACAATTTCTGTCGAGACTTTACCCATTGGTATCGATACCTTGAAGATCGAACAGGACGCCTTTTCCAAATCAAGTGGTATTGATGAAAAAGTTGCAACTCTCCGCAATTTGTACAAGGGGAAGAAGATCATTGTTGGAAGAGATCGTTTGGATAGGGTGAGAGGTGTGGTGCAAAAACTCGAAGCGTTCCTGATGTTTTTGGAAATGTATCCCGAATGGAGAGAAAAAGTGGTTTTGATCCAAGTGTCAACCCCTGGATATAGCCATTCTGCAAATGTGGAACAAAAGGCAACCGAATTGATAAATCAAATCAATTCCAGATACGGCACTTTGAATCATACACCGGTGTTGCATTACCAAATGAGGGTTCCAAAAGAGGAGTATTTGGCATTGTTAAGAGTAGCAGATTTATGTTTGATTACTTCGGTGAGAGATGGAATGAACACCACGGCTTTTGAATTTGTGATTTGTCAAAAGAGCAATAACTCGCCATTGATTTTGTCTGAATTTACGGGGACTGCGTCTGTTTTGAACTCGGCAATTTTGGTCAATCCTTGGGACTCTGTGGGTGTATCAAGAACAATCAATAATGCATTGTCTTTTACCAATGAGGAGAAGGGGGTGTTGGAGAGTAACTTGTACAAGAAGGTTGTATCGAACACAGTTCAAAACTGGACGTCAACTTTCATTCGTGATATAATCAATCATTCGGTGGTGACTCATTCAAGTCATTACACTCCGGCTTTGAATCGTCCACTTTTGTTGAGAAATTACACTCATTCAAGTCGAAGATTGTTTTTGTTTGACTACGATGGCACCTTGACTCCAATTGTGAAAGATCCCGCAGCGGCTATCCCTTCAGACAAGTTGAATCGTATATTGGACATTTTAGCATCAGATCCAAAGAATCAAATCTGGATCATATCAGGAAGAGACCAAGCATTTTTGGAGAAATGGATGGGCAAAAAGCATGTCGGATTGTCTGCTGAGCATGGTTGTTTCATCAAAGACTTGGGAGCCAAGGAGTGGGTCAACTTGGCTGAAGCATATGATATGTCATGGCAGTCAAAAGTTGAGGATGTGTTTAAAGAATATACAAAGCAAACACCAGGGTCCAACATTGAGATAAAAAAGGTTGCACTTACATGGCACTATAGGGGAGCCGACCCAGAATTGGGTGCATACCAAGCGCAAAAATGTCTCGATGAGCTTAATGAGACAATTGCCACTGAATACGACGTGGAAGTAATGTCTGGTAAGGCGAATATCGAAGTGAGACCTAAATTCTTGAACAAGGGTGAGATTGTTAGAAGACTTGTTACCCACCCGCACGGAACAAAGCAATCACTTGAAGAAGAGTCAAAAGATGAAGTGTGTCATGAAAAATTGCCAGACTTTGTATTATGTTTAGGTGATGACTTGACTGATGAGGATATGTTCAAATCGTTGCACAAGATTGAGAATCAATGGAAATTGAACAATGCACCAACAAATGAGTTTGGTACTTATGGCGTGTTCCCAGTTGCTGTGGGGCCCGCGTCCAAGAAGACTGTCGCCACGGCTCATTTGACTGAACCTGCACAGGTTCTTGAAACATTAGGTTTGCTTGCAGGAACCGTGTCGTTGTTTGAAAGTGCCGGATCCGTGGATTTGGATGATAGAGGGCATGTTGCTAATAGTGTCAGCTCCGTAAAGTCAAAGGATGCTATACATCAAGCGTCTTTGAGGAAGAAGAGAAGTATTGAACTTAATGGTGGAGCTGCAGCTAATTAAGCAGCAGTATTTGATTACAATCTATAGCTTTTTTACAATTTATAAAGGACAATTGAGTTAGTTGTTGTTGGCGTAGTCTTACTCTCATCTGGTCACATTTGTTTCAAAGCTGTTTCCAAAGTGAGCTTGTCAAATTTGACAAAACTAATAAACGTAAAAAATTCCGAAAAAAACGTAAAAAAAAAAAAAAAAAAAAAAAAAAAAAAAAAAAATAAAAAATAGCCTNAAAAAAAAAAAAAAAAAAAAAAAAAAAAAAAAAAAAAAAAAAAAAAAAAAAAAGATTTACAATTGCCTGTTGTACACGTAGCAAAACACCATCCACTGTCAAATTATATTCAGGCTTCTAGCTCATGTCTAGTCCAACACCTTCTACAGGGCAAGTCCAGATTCAGACCTCTGCTCAGAAATCACCTGCTGCTATCAATGTGGCAAACTACTTGTTCCAAAATCCAATTTTGAAACAGAGAGTGGGATTATTGGACAACCAAAATGATCTTGAGTTTTTTAGATATAAACGGTTTGAGAGGGCGCTCTTGAGCGACGACTACAATTCCAAGCAGCAGAATCCCCGAAACGGACTCCCACCAATCTCATCAGTGGAGGACGTGCAAAAGATTTTTGTCTTGTTGATTCAAAATCAAATGATAATACCCGTCAAGAAGTTGCATTATGCTGAGGTGAAGGCTGTGAAAGGATGGAAACCCAAGCGCGAGAAACCAACATTGAGAAGATCAGAGAAGGCTGTGGTTGATCCTAATTTCTATTACGGGTGGACATACACTAAACCTAATCCATACATCTTGTTGTACAGTCTATTAGCGGTGGCTGGTATCTTTGCCGTTATTTTGTTCCCATTATGGCCCAACTTTATGAGAAGAGGTGTGTGGTACTTGTCCATGGCTGCATTGGGCTTGATTGGATTACTTTTCGCCACTGCAATTGTGAGGTTCATCATATACGTTATTTCGTTGGTGGCGTTGCCCAAACCATTTTGGTTGTTTCCCAACTTGTTTGAAGATTGCGGATTCTTTGAAAGTTTTGTGCCACTATATGGATGGGAAGAACCAAAGAAGAAAAAGTCCAAAAAGTCAAAGAAGTCCAAGATGGCAGCAAAGGGAGGTGATGATGATAATAATGTGGAACCGATTTTGACTAGTGCTGAGAAAACTGCAACTGGTGCTGAGGCACATGAAAATGGATCGAGTGGTGCTAGCACGAGCAAGAGAAAAGTCTTGTTGGAGGAGGTTGCTGACGAGTAGAGAAGGAAAAAGTGTTCCATTTGAATAGATGTTGAGGAATGAAGAAAAGTATGCATCGGATATGTGGAGTGTATAGCCCTTGAGAAGAGATATAGTTGTATCCTTGGTGATTAAGCTCATATGTTTAGAAGTACACACATAGGCTACTATCAAGTTTGTCTTCGACCGCTGTAGAGGATTCTTTGATGGAAACTCCGCATCTTGAGAAAAGAAGAACGCGCGTGAAAACCAACTTCATAAAATTCCCATATTATATCCTCCGTTTTAATCCCCTTTTGAGTGTGGTAAAACGATCTCCAAACTTGCCATGTCTCGTATCAATGACATTTCCTTCAACCCTGATTTTTCTTTAGTCTCTATAGCGACTAACCATGGCAACAAGATATTCAACTGTGAACCTTTTGGACAATTATATTCCTCCTCAGAGACTCAACTTCGAAAAACATTGTCAAATTCAATAAACAATGTGGAGCAAAATCAACCCCCAGATCCTTCCAAGAGCGAAAGATATCCCACAAAGTTGTTGAAGATGCTATTCTCGACTAGTTTGACAATCATTGTTCCTGAATTTGATGATTGCCGGGTTTTGAAAGTATTTAATCTCAAACAAGGTCTCAAAATTGTTGATTTGGAGTTTGGGTCAAGTATAGTTGACGTAAAGTTGAATAGAAAGAGGTTGGTAGTTGTGTTGCTGAATGGGGAGCTTCATATATACGACTTGAGCTGTATCAAATTACTCACGGTGTTGAAGTTAAGTCCAAATAATAATGATGACACTTTTGTTGGAGATTTGAGTATTGATGACAAATCTTGGTTATGCATACCTGTAAGTGCAATCCAAGATGATGGCATCTTTAGCAAACAGAGAAGGGATAGTATTGCATCTGCCCACTCGGCTGGGAAAAATGCAGACGTGGCTCCTCAGCAAACGTGCCTTGACGATTATATCGAATTGACGCCAAAAGTCAAACAAAGTGAAAACGTGCTTGCAGGCCCAAACATAACACTCAAAGATATCCAAAATGACAGTGAAGGCTGGCTAATGGTGTATGATGCCCTCAACTTGACTCCCGTAACAATATTTAAAGCTCACGATTCTGCAGTCAACAAGATTTCAATATCTCAGAAAGGTGGCAAAATTGCCAGTGCTTCGGTCAAGGGGACTATAGTACGTGTTTTTGACCTTTCCACAGCAGAGGATGGCAAAGTGGCATTAAGTCTGGTTAAGAATTTACGCCGAGGTCATAATATTGCCAAGATAAATTCACTCTGTTTTAATCACAATGAGACTCTTTTGGGCTGCGGGTCGGAATCCCATACTATACATTTTTTCAACTTGATTAAACAAGGGATCGTCAACGAGGGTTCGAATGGCGATTATGGACACGAATCTGATAATCCAAACAGTTTTAGTGACTATGATGACCAAAGTGATACCGAGAACCATCGTTCCTCATCGGAGGAGCTTAATGAAAGTCTTGCAAACTTGTTAGTCTCAAAGTCGCTAAACACACCATCCCAAGACCAAGAAGAGGCTAAAACCAAGCGCAAAAAGTCATGGTTTAGCAAAACCAAGAGCAAATTCATGCACAGCCCATACACAACTTCATTTTTGAACAAGATACCGTATCGTGACTATCTAGACAATCTTATTTGGGAGCCACCAAGACGGTCCTTTGCGTATATAAGACTCCCAGAACATACTCGGATGGCTGCTGGTATAGACAAGCATAACAAGGTGGCAATTGGGTTCAATGGACCCCTCATTTTCATAGCATCCTACCAGTCCGGGAAGCTTTACCACTATCAGATACCAAAACACGGTACGGGTGCTCGTTCTATGATTAAGGACAATGGAGAGGAAAAGGACAAAAGAGAGGAATGCTTGCTTTTGGCTCAGTATGATATGCTACAGCCTGACGATATCTAGGTTATAGTGTGCCCTTTGTGGGGGAAAAAAGTCCATAGTGTTGTAGTGATAGTAGTTACAGATACATTCATGATGCAGCTTCTTTCGAAGTTGAAACACACCTTTTAAAACCATGTGGTGATGTCCTTTATGACATTGCCACCCTGTATCGAACTTCCTTTGAGCGCTTTCGGTTAACCGCGGATTAATTCATTCTCGCGCCCCCTTCTCTCCACACTTTTTGTTGAGCGCGAGATTTTTGTTCCTTCTCTCCAGGATTTTTGCATTTCCGCTATAAAAATTATATCCTTTTCCACAATAAAAAAAATAAAATAAAATAAAAAAGAAAGAACAAACAATTACTGAGTCCATTGGTGTTTTATGAGTAGAGTTCCACAATTACTCAGACTTTCCAAATTACATATAGCAACCACTTCAATCAAGTTTCCATTTTTTAATCAAATCAGAATGTCTCAATTATCCACCAACTCGACATCAGGCTCGTCAGGAGCAGACGATGCTGTAGTCTTGCATTCCACCAAGAATCATGCCAGAATCATAACTTTGAACAGGGTCAAGAAATTGAACTCGTTAAACACTGAAATGGTCAACTTGATTACTCCAGACTTGTTGAAATACGCAAAAGAACCACAAAACAATGTCATCATATTAACCTCAAACTCCCCTAAAGCCTTGTGTGCGGGTGGTGATGTTGCTGAATGTGCCAATCAAATTGTCAAGGGCAATCCCGGGTACGGGGCTGATTTCTTTGACAAGGAATACAACCTCGATTACTTGATTTCCACTTTGCCCAAACCATACATTTCCTTGATGGATGGAATTACGTTTGGGGGTGGTGTTGGGTTATCAGTGCACGCTCCCTTCCGTGTGGCCACGGAAAAGACCAGATTGGCCATGCCGGAGATGGACATTGGTTTTTTTCCTGATGTGGGAACGACATTCTTTTTGCCAAGATTGGATGACAAAATTGGCTACTACACGGCCTTGACTGGTTCGATTTTGTCTGGGTTGGATGCATACTTTTCTGGCTTTGCCACTCATTATATCAAGTCTGAAAAGATTCCTCAATTGATTACTAGATTGGCCAATTTGCAACCTCCGGAAATCGATGATGTTTCCAAGATTTCGTTAGTTTCGGGAAACACTCAATATTTCCAACAAGTTAATGATATTTTGAATGAGTTTAGCGAAAAGAAGTTGCCCGCCGACTACAAATTCTTTTTGACTGAAGATGAATTGGAATTGAACAATAAAGCGTTTTCGCAGGAAAACATCAATGATGTCTTAAAATTCTTTAAAGAACATAGCGACTCGTCACCATTTGCTAAAAAGACTTTAGAAAAGTTGTTACAAAAGCCAAGAACTTCATTAGCTATTGGGTTCGAATTGATGAACCGTGGTTTACAAAACACCATCAAGGAGCAATTCACATTGGAAATGGTTTCAGCCACAAACATTCAAAGGTTGCCACCAAAGGAGAATGACTTTGCTAAGGGGGTCATTCACAAATTGGTCGATAAGATTAAAGATCCTTTCTTCCCTAAATGGAATGACCCTAGTATTGTTACTCCAAAATACGTTTCCGATATTCTTACTGAAACCAGAGACACATTGAAGTTGTTGCCTTCTCCACCATTGATCAAAGAGGGATTTGGCTTGGATTACAAAGACTACCCATTGAACTTTGGCTTACCTAGAAATAAGGAAGTTGCTGCATACATCGCCGGTACAGATGGCTCAAACAGAACCTATTTACCTACTCCTGCCGAAGTGTTCAAGCACTTCAAATCCGCAACAAGTGACAAGTTGGGTGTTGAGTTGAAGATCAAACAAATCTTGGATTTGCATGGAGAAACTGCCAAATATGACAACAAGTATATATCTTGGAGAAACTAAAAAAAAAAAAAAAAAAAAAAAAAAAAAACATCTTTAAACGTTTGAAGTTATTAATAAAAAAAAATTAAAGTAGTTTTTTTT